AATTTAAACTAAATTAACATTTCACCTCATCAAATCAACACAAAATTGAAATTTAATTTTATCAAATTAGCGTTTAGTTATATTAATTTAATATTAAGTTATTATTTATTTTTATCAAATCAAAATCAAATTGAAATTTAATTTTATTAAATTAAACTATTTAATTTATTAAATAGAATATTAAATTTCATTAATTTAAAATTTAACCTTATCAAATTAATGTCATTTCTTTAATTTAACACCAAATAAACATTTAGTTTTATTAAAAAAACATTCAAATTTATTCAATTAATATTAAATTAATGGAATTTAATACTAAATTAATATTTAAATTTATCCAAATTAAGATCAAATTTATTCAATTTAATATTAAATTTTATCAAATGATTTTAAATTTTATATATGAAGTATGATGTGTGAGGAGCGGTCGGACGACGTTGTGGAGAACATATGATTGCAAAGAATTAGAAATGGATGAGATTCTGACATTAACTTTATCAATTGTAATTTTTAATATAGAAAAATTATTTTTAATTGTAAAAATTATTATGACAAAAAAATATAAAAATTATAAAAACTTGATTATGTAATCAATTGAGTAATAATATGATGACTAATATTATAACAAAGTTATAATACGACGTTTTAAAATAAAAAATTTATTGGGATAATATAATGATTGAAATTACGTTTGTTGGCAGGCTAGTGCATATGTAATTGGAAAAATTGATGAAATTTAAGTCTATTTACATAATAAAGAGTAATTTTAGTATTTTCATAAAATATTTAGTTAAATCATTATTTTATCTACTAACAAAGACAAAATTTATTGTTATAGGGGTTGTCATTGAATTTAGATTCAACTAAATGATGTTTAGATAAAACTTTCCTTAAAATATAACATCTAGATATAGTATGTCTCCGATTTTTGTATTATATATATATATATATACAGTAAAGATGTGTGTGTGATATGAACAGTAAAGATGGAGAGCAATTGTATTATGATAGAATTTTGGGGAGACATGTGTCTCAGTTTGGAAAGAGAATCATGAAAGATGAGAGTGTGAGAGAGTCAATCTCTCAGTACAGAAAGTAATTTCTTAACATAAGAAATAAAATCAGAGAAATAATGATAAGAGTTGTAATCTGTATTTTAAGGAGAGAAAGACATAGTTGAAGNCTTAACATAAGAAATAAAATCAGAGAAATAATGATAAGAGTTGTAATCTGTATTTTAAGGAGAGTGAGACATAGTTGAAGAATGAGAGATCGCTTAATTGTCGGATTTGATTGGGTTGGAGAATTAAATTTAGGGATGTTAGTTTTGGATTGAGCGACAAAAAATTTTTAAGAGCTAATATGGTACGTCGGATCGAAACGATCTGAGACGTTAATAGCTTGAGACAGTTTGAAATATCGTCGGTTGTTGGATAATGCCTGTTTTGATCTCGAAATGATCTAAGCCACTTTTTGTCTCTTAAATTTAAAGTTGTTCTACTTTATATATATATATATATATATAATAAAGTAGATAGAATTATTTGTCTTTAAATTTTGTGGCTCAGATTGTTTCACGTTTATTGATCCAATGTTCCTTATGCCAAATCCTTCTAAGACTCCTATCTATCATATGACTCTCTCTCTATCTCATACTAACTAATACAATTCTCTCTTTAATTGGACTTTCATTTCTTTTACAACTCTTAAACTCTTATATAACTCTCTCTCCGTATCTCATACTCATATCTTAGACGTTTTAAACACACACTCTCTCTCCTCTCATATAACTATCTCTGGACTTTGATACATGAAGTCTATTTAACAAAAAAAGGACAAAAAATAATGTATATTGTATAGTATAAAAATTAACTAATTATCACCATTGTAAAAAAATCAGCAATTCACTAACAATCTATTAAATTTATTCAATAAACGATGTGTTAAGCATTATCAATAAAATATTAGCATAATAAAAATATTAAACTAAAATTTTAGAGGTAAACATACTAAAAAAATAAAAAAAAACTATTTTTTTCGTAAAAAAATTAAAGTCAAACAAAGATCAATGAAAAGAACTTTCACTAGCAAAAATTCATAATAAAATAAAGCTCGTTTGAAGAAAGTCTTTTTATAATAAAAAAACTAAATAATTGAAATATGAAAATTATAGGGTAAGCATAGGTAAAAAATATGTGTATAATTTTTAGAATATATAAATATAAATATACGTATCATATTTTTTTNAACAAAGATCAATGAAAAGAACTTTCACTAGCAAAAATTCATAATAAAATAAAGCTCATTTGAAGAAAGTCTTTTTACAATAAAAAAACTAAATAATTGAAATATGAAAATTATAGGGTGAGCATAGGTAAAAAATATGTGTATAATTTTTAGAATATATAAATATAAATATACATATCATATTTTTTAAAAAAAATTATGGGCCCATCCTTACCTCTAAATAGCTCTACACACGTATGTCATCTTATATATATGTGTCTATCAATCTATATCTATATATATATGATCATAATTAGATTTTTATTCCTTTACATCTCTCCTTCTCTCTCCTAGCTCTCATATATTTTAAACACACTCTCATCTCTCATATAACTCTATCTCTGTATCTACCTCATATGCACACACACACTCACTCTTTATCCTAAATGCATATAATAATAAAANAATCTATATCTATATATATATGATCATAATTAGATTTTTATTCCTTTACATCTCTCCATCTCTCTCCTAGCTCTCATATATTTTAAACACACTCTCATCTCTCATATAACTCTATATCCGTATCTACCTCATATGCACACACACACTCACTCTTTATCCTAAATACATATAATAATAAAGTAATAAGACTTAGAGAGTTTTGTTTGAACGGTTATACATATCTAATAATAACAAAATACATCTAATACCTACTAAAATTTTAATAACAAAGATTTTCTAACAAACAATTTAAACACACTCTCTCATNATCCTAAATACATATAATAATAAAGTAATAAGACTTAGAGAGTTTTGTTTGAACGGTTATACATATCTAATAATAACAAAATACATCTAATACCTACTAAAATTTTAATAACAAAGATTTTCTAACAAACAATTTAAACACTCTCTCATCTTTTGTATAACTCTCTCTCTCTCTCCCTCTCTCTATCTCTCTCTCTCTCTCTCTCTCTATATATATATCATATTCTCATGTCTCATAAGTTTGTTTCATCTCTCATATAACTCTATCCCTCTATCACATATTCATTCTATATATATCTGCAAACACACATGCCAACATCGACTCTAACTCAAAAAAAAAATAGATATTTTTTTAGATATAATGATTANCTCTCTCTCTCTCTCTCTCTCTATATATATATCATATTCTCATGTCTCATAAGTTTGTTTCATCTCTCATATAACTCTATCCCTCTATCACATATTCATTCTATATATATCTGCAAACACACGCCAACATCGACTCTAACTCAAAAAAAAAATAGATATTTTTTTAGATATAATGATTAAATATATAAATTGTATACATGTTGATATTTTTTAGAGGTTGTGTTTTTAGAGAAGTTTTGTCAAATTTTTTTAGAAACTAATATTTTCAAATTGATTTTGAATTGTGTAACTAAAAATAATAATAAAAATAAAGCATTGTTTGAAAAATATTTATATTGCATGACTTGTGCTTGAGGTTTGTAGGCGGGGAGTTAAAAGAGGTTGACACACGTGTCTATGCCAAGAGTAATCGAAAGGGGTGANTTGTAGGCGGGGAGTTAAAAGAGGTTGACACACGTGTCTATGCCCAGAGTAATCGAAAGGGGTGAGTAAGATAAGTGGATGAGATGGAAGGAACTTGAGCAGCCTGTTAACGACGTGATGCACTAGTTGGACAGAGGGAAGGTAAAAAATACTCTCACCAGCTAGAAAATCCTCCTTTGCAGTGGATAAGTAATGTGANGCGGGGAGTTAAAAGAGGTTGACACACGTGTCTATGCCAAGAGTAATCGAAAGGGGTGAGTAAGATAAGTGGATGAGATGGAAGGAACTTGAGCAGCCTGTTAACGACGTGATGTACTAGTTGGACAGAGGGAAGGTGAAAAATACTCTCACCAGCTAGAAAATCCTCCTTTACAGTGGATAAGTAATGTGGGTATTTATAGCATAGTGCTCGGGCAGGTCAGGCTGCTCGCCACAACCCCCTACCACTTGCGCTAATCCACAATTGCCTCAACCGCGACGATACCAAAGGCTATTAATGGCGAGCCATGTGTCCCAATATTAATTAGGCAGATGTGATGTTTTCTCAAATGCAACCTGAACATGGCCCCGAGGAAGGTGTGACAGTCAAGGTGAGAAAGAGCTCCCAAGGTCCACAACCGCGATTGACCATTATGGGACAATGGCCCCGAGAGAACCATGCCTGCGATGGCTCTAACGTGCTACTACCCGGGGTATTTCTTTNCTAATCCACAATTGCCTCAACCGCGACGATACCAAAGGCTATTAATGGCGAGCCATGCGTCCCAATATTAATTAGGCAGATGTGATGTTTTCTCAAATGCAACCTGAACATGGCCCCGAGGAAGGTGTGACAGCCAAGGTGAGAAAGAGCTCCCAAGGTCCACAACCGCGATTGGCCATTATGGGACAATGGCCCCGAGAGAACCATGCCCGCGATGGCTCTAACGTGCTACTACCCGGGGTATTTCTTGCCCTCTCTAGACCCTTCTTGGAGATCTTTTGTCGAGGTGTCCAATAGAGGAAACTCACATAGTTTTGATCCTTCAACCACCAATCCACATATCCCATCATTCCATATGCTGATTCGGGCCAATAACCCCAATTACTTTAGAAGTCTCTCCGGATCCTAGTCAAGCATATCCTAGTGGCAGTGATCCATACACTGGGAGGCTTGCCCAAGCAAACTAAACCTTCGATACCCTACTTCAGGCTGAGGTTGACAATCATGCTCATCCGCCCTTATTGCTCAATTTTCCCTTGATGAGGGCCATATTCCCCTGTCCATAGGTGGGACACCTTTTAGTCCAATGGGCTAGTCGAGCAACGGTTGAGGATACTATTCCCACAGCAGGGGAGACGAGTCTCTTCGCGGTTGCCTCCACACTTTTGCGATACCATTCCCGCAAAGGGGCGTCGCGCCAAGGGGTATCGCACCCATGGGCATCGCCCCATACTTCTAGAATTCCACTTCTGTCTAACCTTGGTGAAAGGTTCATTTTGCCACTTTTAATGTGATGGAGATGTATCTCGTCCTGATGCGGTATTGTGCAAGGGAGTGTCGCGCCCAAGTTGTCCCATACTTCTGCGATTCCACTTTTGTCCACCATTGGTGAAGGGTCCAATTTTCCATTTCTAATGCGATGGGGATGTATGTCGCCCTGTTGCGATGTTGTGCCTGAGAGTGTCACGGCTAGGGGTTGTTGCGCCAAAGGAGCGTCGCAGCTAGGGGGTGTCATGCCCAAGGATGTTGCACCTTAGGTGTCACGCATGAGTGTTGTGCCTTGGGCATCATGCATGACATTATTATCTACACGCGCCAAGGGGGCGGCGTCGTGCCCAGGGGGTCGTAACCAGGGGCGTCACACCTTAGGTGTCGCACATGAGTGTTATGCCTTGGGCGTCATGCATGACATTATTATCTACACTAGTCCAATTGATGTTGTTAGGGCGTCGCACCCAAGGATGCCACACTGGTCACTATTATTTATATCAGTTCAACTGAACTCTGTCGGGCCCCATTTCCATTTCAAATGATAATCGTTGCCACTTGTCCTGTTATGGTGGAGACATGTGTCTTGAAGTTTTTCAAATACTACATTTGCCCCTACGCGCGCCAGGTCGTGGGAATTGTCTTGCGCTTGCACCTTTTTCGGTCCTCACTTGTCGTTTGACTGCAACTATCTGACCGTGGTGCCGATGACTAATTTTTTTTTGTAAAATTGGCCCAAGTTTTCTACTTTCATTTCTCTATTGCCAAAAAACATTGTTGTGGTTAGTTGCCCCTGCATGCATGAACCTTCTTTTGATGAACTTTGCATGCATAATGGTCGCGATGACTTGTGAATTTTTGTCCTTGGGCAATTTTTTTTGAGGTGCATCTCTTTGTCCTTGTACCAAATAGAAAACCTTGGCTATCATTGAGCGGTGATTCCCCAAATGGGGTGAGGTTTACTTCCTCGAGCTCCTTCTCCTGTAGCTTAGGGCGATCCTCCATGCATTCTGGCGTAGGGACTGCGTTAGTGGGCGTTGCGGTGATATTGGACTTCGTTTCATGCACCTCGTCTCTGGGACTCACCCCCGGTCTCATAAGTGGTCCCCCCCCACACCATCATAATTGGTTGGAGACGATGGATAGGACACGACGAATACATCTCTTTGGGGCCACCTCCCGCGAGGGCTCTTCAAGTTGCCTTTTTCTTCGGGCCCGTTCTCTAAGCCTTTTTTTCACACCAACCCTTCGTGGTCTGCACTACCTAGTGAGTCTTTCCGTAACTTGTGGAACTCTCTTTGACTCAATAATTTTTTGTGGGAAAGCCATGAAACTGTTTCCTGTATTGTAGAGAAAACATCATCTAGATTTTGAAAAGTATGGCAAGGAACTTCTAGTCGTTCGCGTGGTCGTTGGTTTGCCCAATAGTTCAAGTGGGTTGCTATACCAATCTAAGAAAATTCATTGCATAGTTGGCCCTGTGATTAGGATATGCCTTTTCGAGGAACAATAATAAGGTCTCTACAATGGTATTCATTTAACAAGGTCTCTTTGCTGGCCTTGGGGTCGGCTCACATTGATTCTTTGCCAATGGTTCAAATTATAAAATGAAGTTCAACTATTGATATACTTCTAAATTCAAGGAAAACATGGTCCATAGTTGCAGCACTATTCTGCCGCGTGACCCACCACCGCTACACCAAATGTTTTGTGAACCTGAACATACTTCCTTGATTGGTTTTTTTTACGTACCTATTGATTATGACCACGGAGACTTGCTAGGCTAATCACCTTCGTCAAGTTGAGGTCTGTCCCATAAGTCGCGTGACCCACCGCTGCGACATTAGTACCACCGCGAGACTTACCATCATGACACCATGTGCACCTCCTCACCTTCTTCGTGGTCTACGAGGGGTTGATCATGGACATTGCCCTCGACGCCTGTCAAAACCAACTCTCCACACTTTAAGCATTTTTGAAATAGTCGGTGCACAGTCCAGCAATCCTTATGGTTGTGCTTGGTGTGATGATGAAATTCACGGAAAGTCGAGCTATTTTTTTCTTCTCTAATTGGTTCCTTTTCCACTGGTGGTAGCTCGACATCATCGTTCTTAATCCATTCCATGAGAATCTATTGAACTTCCTTCATACCACAAGGATACGGAGGTGGCTCCTCAGGCTTGGAGGCTTTCCCTCGCTTCTTTGGATGCTGACCCCCTTTCGGGACTTCCTCAGCAATTGCAAAAATTGCTCCTTTCCTCTTGTTCGTCTAACTGGCTATCTTCAGGGAGCTGGACCACCTCTGAAAGCCCTTCAGCAGAATCGCATATAGCCTAGTAAAGGTTTTAAAGTCATTGTTCGCCAAGTATGCCTTGTATTTGTTGTGCATTCCGTCGATGTAGATTCGGACAAGGGACTTTTCGATGACATTGTCTTGGCACTCGATGACTTTGTCACGAAACTTGTCAATGTATGTCATCAGGGCTTCTCTATCATCCTGAATAGTCTCGTTAGGGAAAGTACTATAGTACGCTGCTTGACATAGAAAAACTTTGCGTAGAATTGTGCAACCAAGTTGTCCCAATCCCTCACCGATTTTGTCGAAAGGTTAGCATACCAGGTGCAGGCTCTGTCCTTGAGGGACTTGGAAAATTCCCTTATCCGAATAGGCTCGTGAAGCACATAGTGGCCAAGACTATCAAGAAGACGTGTAATGTGCTCCTTGGGGTTGCCATTTTTTCCATCGAACTTCTTGAACTTTGGCGATAAGTACTCTGTAGGATACATAACTTGCTGCACAGTCGGGGTAAACTTGGACCTTATGTCCATGGTTGTTGGCATGAGCTTCTTTTGTTTATCTAGTAAGGCTTGTACTTGGGCCAGTGTGACAAACCTTGCACTAGGCACTGACTGTTCTATGCTGGCCGAATACGGCGTCCAAGCAACTATTGGTGGCAACAAGGTGAGGCCGAAAATGCTGAAGGCATGGTTGCGGGGACACTGAAAAAAATAGTTTGACCCCACACTAGGGTAGTTGTCGGTGCTGTTGTGAGATGGTGAAATGAGCCATTTGGGAAGCTGCGAGGCCATAGTTATAGCCAGTTGCAGCGTGCTCACATCCGAGAGCCGTTGGAAAGTTTAAGAGATGTGCACTAGTCGTGGTTACGAGTCTAGCCATAGTGGGTACCTCAAGTGTTGTGATATTTTGAGGGTCTGTTGTAGCTGTATGTTGTAGGGGAGTTAGAGAACCCAAGGTAGTAGTTTGTTGCAAAAATGTTAGAGGGTTGTCTGTGGTAGTTTGCTGCGAGAGAACTAGGGGGTAGTTGCATCAATTTGTAGCGGAAGTGGTAGGGATTCACTGGTAGGATTTTGCAAAGTTAAACCATAAGGGCTTAACTTCCGTGGTGCACCATTATCGCCCGATAATGCCATTGGAAGAGATGCCAGTAAAGTCGAAGGTGGTGGCACCGGGTACTGCAGGAGCAATGGCAAGAACATTAGTGGGTTTTGCAAGCCAGGTAGTTGGAAATACATCTGAGTTTGAATCATCTGCATTACCATAGCCATCTGTTGTTGTAGAGTTTGCATGTCATGCAGAGCCTGCGCCATTGCGGAAGGCTCTAGCACCTCCGAAGCCCTTCGACTCGTAGAGGAACAATGGCTATCCTCACGCTGGGGTGGACTTTTCTGTTATTCGTCTTTCTTGTCATTGTTGTTTTCGATCATCGTATTAGACAATACTCTTCCACTTCAAGTTGTAATAGGCATAGGCTAGCGAGGACAAACCTCCCTAGTGAAATCGCCAAAAGAATGTAGGTGGGGAGTTAAAAGAGGTTGACACACGTGTCTATACCAAGAGTAATTGAAGGGGATGAGTAGGATAAATGGATGGGATGGAAGGAACTTGAGCAGCCTGTTAATGAAGGGACGTACTAGTTGGGCAGAGGGTAAGTGAAAATACTCTCACCAGCTAAAAAATTCTCCTCCGTAGTGGGCAAGTAATGTGGGTATTTATAGTACAGTGTTTGGGCGGGTCAGGCTGCCCAAAGGGTTGTTCATTGCGACTCTTTATCGCTCGCGCTAACCCATAACTGCCTCAACCGCGACGATACGAATGGCCATTAACGGCAAGCCATGTATCCCAACACTAAGTAGGCAGATATGATGTTTTCCCAAATGCAACCTGGATGTGGCCCCGAGGAAGGTGTGACAGGCAAGGTGAGAGAGAGTTCCCAAGGTCTATAACCGCGACTGGCCACCGTAGGACCATGGCCTCGAGAGGACCATGCCCGCGATGCCCCCAACGCGCTTCTACCTGAGATCTTTCTTTCCCTCTCTAGACCTTTCTTGGAGACCTTTGTCGAGTTGCCCAATAAAGGACTCTCACGTAATTTCGGTCCTTCAGTCACCAATCCACATGTCCCATCATTCCATATGCTGATCCGGGCCAATAACCCTAGTTACCTTAGGAGTCTCTCCAGATCCCAGTCAAGCACATCCCAGTGGGTAGTGAGCCATACATTAGAAGGTCTGCTCGAGCAGACTAAACTTTCTAGATCCTGCCCCAGGCTGAGATTAACAATAATGCTCATCTGTCGCTATTGCTCAATTCTCCCTTGAGGAGGGTCATACTCCCCTGTCCCTAGGTGGGGACACTTTTTAGTCTAGTGGGCCAGTCAGTCGAGCAATGGGTGAGGATACCATTCTCGCAGCAGGGGAGGCGAGTCTCGCCGCCCGTTGCCCACACACTTCGGCGATACCATTCCCGCAAAGGGGTGTCACGCCAAGGGGTATCGCGCCCAGGGGCGTCGCACCTGAGGTTGCTCTATATTTATGCGATTCCGTTTATGTCTAACCTTGGTGAAAGATTCATTTTGNTAAGAACACATGACCATTTTAATCAAAGGGTGTTCTGAAAGCATTTGACCTATTTATAGGTGTTTACATCCAAAAATAGTAAGATCAAAGGGTGTCACGAGGGAGGAATCCGACAGTTATAAAAGAGTATGTGAGAGTCCACGATTAACAAAACTGTTAGAAGAGTACGACTCTCAAAATCACGGAAAATGAGAAAACGTAATATCATGAGCCGTCAGTTGATGATGGTTCAATGGATGTCCAAGCATCGAGAGAAACAAAGCCATGATCACAGTAATGGTCAAAAAAGATGGGTCGACTGTTGAAGGTTATCACTATAAATAGCAGAGGCTAGACCACTGAGAGAGAATCCACAATCAAACACAAAAACTCTTCACATAGCTAACCCACCTTATACTTATT